CCGAGGCGGGCGATCACCTCAGGGTCGGGAGATCGAGAACCAGCCTGACAACATCGGGAGAAACCCGTTCTACTAATAACACCACAAATAGCTGGGGCGTGGTGGCGCATGCCTATAACCCCAGCTACTTGGAGGCTGAGGCAGAGAGATTGCTTGAACCCGAGAGGCGTAAGTTGCAGTGAGCCAAGATAGTCCATTGCACTCAGCCTGGCAACAAGAGCGAAACTCCGTCTCAAAAAAATAAATAAATAAATAATAATTAAATTAAATAAATAAAATAAAGACCTTATTAATTCTCTCAGGACTGCCATGAGAGCAATGCCCATTTTCCTGAAATTCTAGGAAAGCTAAGATGCTAGACTTTTCTTTTCACTATCCTTAATTTGGTGTTTTGAAATCTTTCTCCACTTTCTTTTTTTTTTTTTTGAGATGGAAGTCTCGCTCTGTTGCCCAGGCTGGAGTGCAGTGGTGCGATTCTCGGCTCACTGCAAGCTCCGTCTCCTGGGTTCCTGCCATTCTTCTGCCTCCAGCCTCGCCGAGTAGCTGGACACAGGCGCCCCTGGGCCTGGCTAATTTTTTGTATTTTTAGTAGAGACGGGGTTTCACCGTGGTCTCCATCTCCTGACCTTGTGATCCACCCGCCTTGGCCTCCCAAAGTGCTGGGATTACAGGCGTGAGCCACCGCGCCCGGCCTTCTTTCTCACTTTTTAAAAGCAAATTTTTATTGATCCTGCCACAACCTCTCTAATAAATACCTTTCTTAAGGAAGGGTATTCCAATACCTATCCTTCTCAATGTCTCTAACCATGAAATGTGATGGACAAGACACCATTACCAGATGTTAACTTTTGTATCTGTGGGCAGGAAATCAGAATCTTGGTTGCCAAATTTACTTCTCCTAAGAATGGACATCTGGAGATTCTTTTTATTTTACTTATTTTGAGACAGGGTCTTGTTCTGTCACCCAGGCTGGAGTGTAATGGCATAATCTTGGCTCACTGCAACTTCTGCCTCCCAGGCTAAAGTGATCTTCCTATCTCAGCCTCCTGAGTAGCTGGGACTACAGTTGTGTGCTACCATGTCCAGCTAATTTTTTGTAGAGGTGAGTTTCACCACATTGCCCAGGCTGATCTAGAACTACTGCATTCAAGCAATCTGCCCACCTTGGCCTCCCAAAGAGCTAGGATTATAGGCATGAGCCACCGTGCCCCACTGAAGACTTTTTAAAAGTGACTTACTGGCCGGGCGTGGTGGCTCATGCCTGTAATCCCAGCACTTTGGGAGGCCGAGGCAGGCATATCACGAGGTCAGGATATTGAGACCATCCTGACTAACATGGTGAAACTCCGTCTCTACTAAAAATACAAAAATAGGCCGGGCGTGGTGGTGGGCACCTATAGTCCCAGCTACTCGGGAGGCTGACGCAGGAGAATGGAGTGAACCCAGGGGGCGGAGCTTGCAGTGAGCCAAGATTGTGCCACTGCATTCCAGCCTGGGAGACAGAGCAAGACTCCACCTCAAAAAAAAAAAAAAGAAAAAAAAAAGTGACTTATTTCCTGCAGTTGACTATGGTTTTGTGTAGTTAGGAATACTATTCTTTCAAACAAACAAAAACAGAAAAACTTTTCAAATTTTAAAATGCAGCAACGAATCTTATTATCTCCCACAATCTGCCCAAAGCACTAGATACAGCAAATTCTCTCAGATAACAGGGCAGATGTGCCCTTGCAAGCTCTGCCTCCTGCTTACCTATTATGAACTAACTCAGCCATCAACTTGAGTACAGGTGTAGTACAGGCTGGATCATGGTACCAGAGCTCAATTGCCCGTTGGAGAATTGGCATATAGGATGGATATCTGTAAATGAGAAGCTAAGGAAAGATTTCTGATTCCAGAAAGGTACAGAATTTAAAAGTGTTTTTCAGCACTAGCCAAGCACAAACTTGTCAAATTACAGTTCTTTAAGTTCCTGTCTCTTGCTTGCTAATCTTAGGGTCTTTCTAACCAGAAGATACTAAAGTGATTTTGCGTTCTTTAACCTGTAAAAGGCATCTAATAATACATTTTAGTTTACATAGTGCCCTTCTTCTGAAGAGTATGATGTATTTCATATTGTTACTTATCCTTTCATCACTTCTATGGTATTATAGGCGATCAGCTCATTTCCTTTACATAACTATTAAAGAGGCAACTGGATTTGAAATAATCTGCATAAGGGTATGAAGTCAGTAAAGTCAGACTTCCTGATTTGTAAAAGTTGTTTTTTATCATTTTTTTTTTTTATGTTTTCTGAGACGGAGTCTCGCTCTGTCACCCAGGCTGGAGTGCAGTGGTGTGATCTCGGCTCACTGCAAGCTCCGCCTCCCAGGTTCACGCCATTCTCCTGCCTCAGCCTCCCAAGTAGCTAGGACTACAGGCGCACGCCACCACGCCCGGCTAATTTTTTGTGTTTTTTAGTAGAGACGGGGTTTCACCATCTTAGCCAGGATGGTCCTGATCTCCTGACGTCGTGATCCGCCCACCTCAGCCTCCCTAAGTGCTGGGATTACAGGCGCGAGCCACCACGCCCGGCCTTTTAATTTTTTTTAGTAGACTGAAACATCTCTCTAAATATAGCAAAACCAACAGGTCTACAGTGGTATATAGTTCCGCAGGCATTTATATTTGAGATCCAAAAGAAAAACTGGGAGACTACCTCATTCATGTTCTAACCTCAGACAACCTTATGTCTGTCACAAGGTGGCTTCCAGGACATATATAGGCCTTCTGGGTAGCTCTTCATCTTCTTTGCCTCACTACCCTCCCTTCCCCCCACACCCTCTCTGGACCCCATCACCCAATCACACTCCAGTTAAGGCATGCTGTAGTGTGCTCCTAGTTTGAGTTAGGATACATCCATTCAAAGAGCATCATGAAGCTGGTCTTGGCATTGAAAGCGAAAGCGATCCCTCTCAGGTCTCTTACTAGGCCAACTAGAGTTCGCTGTAGTAGAAGGCAAAAATGTTAAAATAGAAGACAAAACTGCAACAGTCTAATGAGGATTCCACACGTGTCATCAAGTTCTTCCTCTCACTGTTCAACAAACACTCCTTCTCAAATATTCTGATTCAATCTCTTCTATGCTAGAATGGCATATTTTCATTATGTTTTGGAAGTTTGAAGTTTGTTAGCTTTGGAAGTTTGTTTTGCCAAGAAAATAGGTTCCTGGTTCATAGCAAAAATAGAGGCTGATAAGGTTTTTAGACATTGAAGTAATACATCACATGTAAACAGTGAAAAAGCTTTGAGTCCACCCAGGGAGGAAAGGAAGGGAGGGAGGCAGGGAGGAAAGGCGGGGAGGGAGGGAGGAAGGGAGGAAAGGCGGGGAGGGAGGGAAGGAGGGGAGGGAGGGAGGAAGGAAGGGAGAGAGAGACAAAGAGACAGACAGAGAGAGACAGAGAAACACATGGCAAAGAAACCCACTCAAAAAGCCAGAAAAAAGCAAAAAAAAAAAAACAAACAGAAGTCCCAAAGAAGAAGAGGTAGAAGAGTCATATATACCCTAATGGTTTATACCCTAAAGGAAGTCAGATGCAGGCCCTGCCAAGAGGAAGACAAAGGGGAGTCTACACAGCACCTCTCCCTTTGGGTGGGCCATCTAGATGAGACTATGTTTAATCTGTACTCTCCATTTGCAGAAAAAGAGACTGATGCTTAAAGAGGCCAAAAAACTTCCCCCAGTCATGCTGCCAGGTAGTAGGAGGGCCCAGATCAGGACTCATACATAACACCAAGACTCCAAATCCAATACTCACTCTCTCAATAAAACTTTTACTTGGGACATGAACAGCAATAAAACTACTTTAAAAATCGTACTTTGGGATTTGTCTCCAAACGTGGAGACAGAACAACAACAATATCTGGTCGTCATCAATATGCTCAAGAAGGTTGCACATTTGGGGATCTTGACACATTTGGCAAAAACATCCCTTCTGTTAACAGTCTGCTTGTAAGCAAACAGTTCTCTCCTAAGCTGATACCATAAGCTCAGTTTTCCAGTCTAAGACTGGGTCAGTATCTTAAAAGACTACATGGGACATGACAAAGAAGTGGGTGATAGCTGTAGTCCACTACCAAGGTTGTTCTTTTGGTTAATTTTACTTGCTTTACATGAAACTAATACCGTATAATGGGAACAGGGCTGATATTCACTGATATCCCTAAATCCTTGATACTGGTTGATACTCTAGCCTACAGTTGCTATATGTTCCAGAATAACCCAGGCTTTGAATGGTACCTATCTCAGACCCTGAAACACAAGTATAAAGGGGAGAGAGGTCTGGATTAAGTATTGCTTTCTGTCTACCCTGCTGATTTGTAGATGGAAAAAGAAAAGGCTAAAGATGAAAAAGGAGAGCTTTAGAATGTTAGGTAAAGCCTGGCATTTTTTTCTGGCAATACCCTGGCTATCTGGTAGTTCTACCATTCAGCCTTGGTGCCCTGAGGAATACTGTAAAAAGTCCTACCAATACTAACATCCTGGTGTCTTCTGATTTTGACACAGGTCAAGAGAACAGTATGTATGAAGTAAAAAGATGAGGAAAGCAACAATCAAGAAATGACAATTCTAAGAGTTAGAAAACAAGAACTTAGAATTCCATGTATGTGGAAATTCAATGGGCATAGTGTCTCATGCCTATAATCCCAGCCACATGGGAAGCTGGGGCAGGAGGACTCTGCTTGAGCCGAGAGTTCAAGGCTTGCAGTGAGCTAGGATCATGCCACTGTACTCCAGCCTGGGCAACAGAGTCAGACTCTGTCTCTAAAAAAAAAATTAAAAATAAAAACTCATATATGTGGAAATTCTTAAACCTTCTAAATGACTCAAGTATCAAAGAAGAAATCTCAGTGGATATTAGAAATCACAAAAAACTGAATAATGAAAATGTTCCATATTAAAATCATGGATTCTGAAGATCTATTTCACAACAATGTAGAAATACTTGACATCACTGAACTGTACATGTAAAAATGGTAAAGATGGTAAACTTTGTTTTTTACCACAATTTTAAGAAAACCCAACTTGTCACTAATGAGCAGTATTAAAAATGAGAAGGGGATGTAATTAAAGATAAAACTGAGATTAAAAAGGCAGTAAGAAAACTGTAAACAACTTTATGCTAATATATTTGAAAACTCAGATAAAAAAAATCCTAAGAGCTACTTAAGCAAATACATTGTAATATAAAAATAGAAGTTTACAAATCTGGTTCTGCAATTCCAAAACCCTAAAAGTACAAGATATTAAAAAAAGCTAAGGCAGTGGATAGTTTACGGTCAAGCACAATTTTCAATCAGGGACTGCCCTAAACCAGAAGCTGATTAATTACTGGGTAAAAGACTCACTCACCTTTGCCTCCTGCTCGTTGAAACTATTGGTGCTAAACATCTGGGCCACAGCCTCAAACGCTGCTGTGAGTGGCAGCATGAACTGCTCATACTGATCTTCATCCTCTCCTGTAAAGGAAACATCGCAGGGTATAACCCCAATACCAAGAATTCAAAGCTGTGCATACATGGGAAGATGGGATGAAAGATGAGCAGACCCAGGAGAACTCAAGGGGGTCCCTTTATTATCCCAACAGGTATTGGTAGCAATTTAAGAATAACATGTATATATAGAAACAGAATTTTTAAACTAGAAGATGACAGAAATCACCTAGTCTAGGCTAGGTTTGTTGATGCTGAGCCACAGTATCAGAGATTGGTATGTGTATAAGGTACTATGTTATTTATTTATTTTGCCTTGCTGAGAATTAGCAAGTCATTGGAGAAAAGAATGAAGCTGGTGCATGAGAACTAGATGAGACTCAAACTTCAAATGGGTACAGAGGTTTCATTCACACTCAATTTTTAAAAAAGTCATCTTTCATAAACCTAGAAGGTTTTATGTCATTTTAGTAGGATTAAATTTAAACAGCTGAAAATTAGAGTAATACCACTGAGCTTTAGTTATTAACTGACCTGAAACTGCTAATATCACCACTACTGCTACAAAAGTGATTAAGCCCTTCTGGCTCATCTGTGCTAGAAAACTGGATAATAAAAAGTCATGTTGATTGTTTCAAGTGGGTGTATACCTCCCTGTGGGGTGAAGTTATCTGGCCAACAAGATATATTTAGGAATCTCAATTCCTTTATTTAACACCCGAAGAATATGAAGAAAATTTTAAAGCCACTGCATATCGGATGAAAACTTCAGGAGCAGACTGTTACTCTCTTTCAGTTACAAGGACCTCGACAGCATGCTCTGTTCTTGGTGAAATCAGACTGCTATTTCAGATAGTTTTGTTATGTTGAAATAACAGAAAAGCCCTCCCCAACATCTAGTTTTCAGTCCTCAAATAAAAATTTAGAATAGTGCCAGATGACTTCATGAGCCACTACGATTTCTTACAGTACCTAAATCCACCATGAGGAGACGCCCCAGTGCTGTGTAGAAGGTAGTTCGACACCGCATGTCTGTCAGGTTGGACTGATTGTTAATACCCAAAAATGAAAAGTGCTCGCTCTATTGAAAAAAAGAAAACAAGTTAAAGGTAAAAACATGAGTTAGAGGCAGAATGCAAGCCAGTAATCAGAGAAGTACTGAGCCCTTTCAAGTCAACGGCTATGTAGTCATTCCTTGAGGATCTGAAGGTTTTTTTTTTTTTTTTTTGAAGGCAGGCTACCGTTGTTACAATTACTAATTTATCTGCAGTATGAGTAGCAGTAGGTGACTTCACCATAACTCAGATCATCTGGATCTCAAAGAGCCATTCTGATGACAGTAAGTGTAATCTGGCAGTGTGGTGGGAATCAGGACCACAGTTTTTGCTGTAGCAATACCCAGGACCTCAATTTAAATATCTCCTTTGTGTGTAAAGAAAGTGTATGTGTGGGTGGTAGGAGGGGCAGGAAAAAAAGCTAAAATCACTCACCGTGTGATTGTTCAGCATGAACTGTACCGCACTAAGCTTCACTAGCTTCCTTACACTACTGTACGTAAAGACAAAGGAAGAAGGTCAAGGAAAGCGTGAAGCAGACCGAGACTCTAAGGCAGATGGAAACTTTCCAGAATAAAGAACAGTTTACCCAAATATCTTTAAAAAAAAAAACAAAACTTGAGTATACCACTGCCAAATATGAAAAAATGTGTTCTCTTCTAAACACTATTTAATCAATAAGAAAACACCTATACCAAACTCCTATTTGTAAGAAAATAGATAAACCTAGCAGTTTCCCCAAACAATCATGAATATCCTAAAATGGCTTTTCTCAGTGGGTGTTCCAAGGGAGAATTAGGCCCTAAACCCCTGCCTAAGAGGCATATATTGTGTACAATTAATGAACTTCTTTCCTATTTAGAATGGTACTAGCTATATACAGTATTTGGAGAAGCGAGAAGAAAATCACTTCAATAATTTTACAGGGTTTACCCTTCTTGCGGACCCCTGATTGTGAAAAGCTGCCCTACAGCAATTCAAACTTAATAGCAGATCTAGTTCAAGTCAAGAGGAAGTATAGTCATTACTTCAATCATAAAGTTTGGAATCAGGATGTTTCTACCAACCAGCTGATGGGACAACCTAAGAAGGAGTTTGTCTCTACTAAGGATACTAAAACCTTGGTCACACAGAGTGTGTACCTATGAGATGGGGCTACTATGCACTTCTGGAACTTAGGAATAGACAGGGATAAATCTGTACTGAACTATCAGGTCGGGTGTCGGCTCATTTTTGGGGTCTGAAATTATTCCTATATTCTGCATGGGCATTGGCGTTTTTGGACTCCTAGGAAAATGGAAGATATGTGAGTACACACTAAAGTTAAATTGAAGTGGAAAGAGCAGGAGGCCATGATTCTAAGACTGTAGCATGCCACTTTCAGTTGTGCACAGAAACTAGCTTAGAAAAGGATATCCAATGGAGAGGTCATTGAGAAGCTGTAGTGTCTTGGAGGTGATTGGTTCACAGCGGCCCCAGTACTTCAAGTTGGTGATGCTGGAGGACAAAAAGAAAAAAAAAGCAGGAGACCCCTTTGATTTGCTGGTTTCCTTGAGGGCTGGGAGAAGAGAAAGTCATTCATCAAAAGTCACCACACATCTGCACCACCAATTCACAGACATCACGACCACAAAAAAAGATGGGTAGGAAATCTCTGTACTTACATTTGGTTGACTAGAAAAATTATCCTTCAGATAATCTTCACTACTTGGTTCCAAAGCTACACTGGCCCATACCCAGGCCCTTGGAATTCTGGGGCACTCCAGGGCTGATTTCTGCAGCAAGGGTAAGAGATTTCTGCGGCAGTGATAACATGCAGACGTATGCAATTCTGCACCTGCACCATCCACTGTCAGCTGCAGAATTCTAGTAGCCCTTGCTTCTGGATTCTTGGCTGGCAGAGTCCTTTAGACCCCCTTTGCTTTTTCCATCTTAAATTATTAACCAGCTCATGGATATGAGTGTTTAGGGTTGGGACAGTTGGTAGGAGGCAAAATGTCACTCTGCACACAGCCCTGGGTAATATATTTGGCTCCTAGTGTGTGCTTTGATAAATTGAGCTCCTAAAAAGGGCAAAAGTGTAACCGAAGGGGTATAACGTAAAAAAATAAAAAAGGGCCAATTAGGAGCTCCAACTCTGAAGACAGTTCAAACAGCAGCACTAGATTTTGGAGACTCAACACTCTTAAAGGGTGTGATGTTTTCTGGGAGGAATAAGCCCATTTTTAAGTGGGGCTTTCCCCTTCGAGGGGATAACTAGAGGAAATCAGCAACAGAAAGTGAATGCCTACGCTGGGCATCCCTGGAGCACGGCAACTGGGTGAGGGGCTGAGCAGCAATTACTGGGGTGGAGGTCTGTTTTGCTAATGACATGACAGGGTTTCACCTGTGATTCCAGAGGCTAAAGAGGAGATTCTGCAAGAACAAAATTAAATCCTTGCCTGTACAAGCCTGGAATGCTCTGGGGCCGGGCCATATCTCTAAGCACAGCTTGTCACACACTCAAATGCACAATTTTCTGACGCAAACGATCAATGCTGGAATACCAGGCACTGGCAGCACAATGCCAAGATCACATTTTACAGTTGCAACAGGATTGCAAAGGACTCTTGCTGGTGGCAAGCTGAAACACTTACATTTTTCCTATGAAGACGCTTAGGACCATGGTCTCATCATTCAAGCCCAGAACTTCTGAGAGTCGGCGGTACAGCTGGTGTTAAGAAGAGAAAGTAACCAGAACACATGAATTAGAACAATCACATCCCGGTACTATTTTTGTCCATACTCGTGGGTAAGATGTGGAAGAAAATGGACGAGACTCCCAGAGAGGACTTTACTGAAGGGATAAGCTAGTTTCTAAGTATTACTGGACAGATGCTGAGCAATCTTACTGGTCCCTTTCAATCCTGAAATTACAAAAAGACAGTCCAAATCTTCTGCTGTTCTGAATATTAATTCATGCATGGAGGCTAAGAATTGCCCATTTGTGGGAGAACAACAGATGTTTTGACTGGCCATTTGTTAAGCACTAGAGAAATGGGCCCAATTCTTTGATGAATCTCCCAGAATTTAAAAGCTAAGAGAAAACATTTGCACTGTCCTATTACCTGAAATCTGGAGGTTATGTGAACTATCAGCAACTGTTTCCCTCTATCAGCAATCGCACAAGTGAGAAGTGAGAACTAAGGGGAGCCAATTAACAGGCTGTTACCTTAGAGGATTTCTGCACTTGGTCCCCAATGTAGATCTTACGAAACTGTTCAAAAAAGCTCAGCATGGCCAACTCTAGCTTCTCATTACCCGCCTGGGCCAAACGAGAATCTGTTAGGTTCATCAGCTGGAGTACCCTGGAGGAAGAGGAGCAATGATTCTCTCAACAGCAGGACATCCTTGTTACTCTAGACAACCCAAGCTATCTTGACGTGGTCATATATGCCTGTACTTGGGTAGAGCAATCTCCTGCAACCAAGTTCATCTATATAAATGAGGGAGACAGGACTAGACCACGAGTTTTCCATCTTTTTTTCTCACAGAGCCATGAAAGGAATGGTGACACATGAAGGATGATGTTCACAGGTAGGTAACACTTCCACGGATTACTAGCAGAAATGCTACCTGTGACTTCATCCCTTTTCTCTGTACCCTCTCCCCAAAAGAAAGGATACGGGAATGCAAGTGAGTGAATCCAAATACAGATGTCATAATAAGTGAGTCATTTGACATTTGAGTGTGGGAATAGTTAACTATTTGTGACACACCATGAGTGAATGAGACTCCATCATTGTGTTGCTACACTCAAGCTCAGAACCAGTCTGCAAGACATTGTTTGAACTAAAATTATGACACACACAGTACTGAACTGGGCTGCAGAATCAGAAAGCATTAGATTTCATTCTTACTTAAAGCTTTGCTCAACTCTTCAAAAAACGCCAGTGGGAAAATGCTACGGAGACTTTTGTCAGGATTAAGGGACCTCTGGGCAAATGGGCATCTGATAAACAAAATGGGGGTGGAAAGAAACAAATGAGGATTTTCAGAAGATATATATATATATATATATTGAAGGCCGGGCGCAGTGGCTCATGCCTGTAATCCTAGCAGTCTGGGAGGCCGAGGCAGGTGGATCACCTGAGGTCAGGAGTTCGAGACCAGCCTGGCCAACATGGTGAAACCCCGTCTCACTAAAAATACAAAAATTAGCCAGATGCGGTGGCATGTGCCTGTAATCATACCTACTTGAGAGGCTGAGGCAGGAGAATCGCTTGAACCTGGGAGAATCGCTCGAACCTGGGAGAACCCACGACACGGAGGCAGAGGCTTCAGTGAGCTGAGATAGCGCCACTGCACTCTGGTCTGGGTGACAGAGCGATATTCCATCTCCAAAAAAATTTTTAAGAAGTTTTGATAAAATGAGAACTGCACAGATGCAAAATAACTTGAAATGTATGGCCAAGAGGTTTGAAAGGCTGTAGGAACTCTGTAACTCCATCGCTGGTGAACTTTAAAGAACCACAGTTTCCTTTTAGACTTATTTTGGGATGGCAAAAGCAATCCATATTTTACTAACTCTGAGATATTGTTCTTAAACAGACCTAACAGAGAATCTCTGCTTTAGTTTTCCTAATTCTGTATCCATTATTTCCTTGCTGAATTACTGGTTTTTTGTTTTTGTTTTTGTTTTTAAAGTAAAGATCATAGGCAGAGTTATCACGGCACTTATAAAAGGCTTGAAAGCTGTGTCTCATGGGCAGTTAGCATGTTAAGATTATGTTCTGTAAGTGGAGAGGACCCTATCGGGGAGTGGAGAAGTGCCAGCGAGGTGGAGCGGAGAGCTTCTGTAGGGAGCACTTACCGACAGACAAGCTCACCATCCATGGCGTCTTGCTCATCAGTGCTGGCAAAAGAAACCCGGCCACCGATCACTGCTCCAATAATGTAAACCAGCCATGTCAGCCTTCCTACAGCAGGAGATAGACCCAGTGTCACCTCCAGTGATAGTTTCTTGAAGACATTCCTCACTCTAAACTTCCTTAATCTTAAGAACACTATGGTGAAACCATAAAGTCTTACTTTTCTTACAGAGAATGGCTACTTCTCTGCTTTGGTTAAGAGCAATGCTAAGGGGGAAATTCGTTAGGTAACCAACGTTCCTGTATCAGACAAGGCCATTATTTTTAGTGTAGTATTTCCTTAGAGTTAAAACACCCAAGCTGGGCACAGTGCTATGTTACAAACACCAGCCAGGCCTGGTGAAAAGAGGAAGCCCAGGTTACTGTCTGTACTTATCTCCCTGTTTCCCCTAGGCCTTTATTTAGTAGTCATAAACCTCTCGGCCTGGTCCCAGCTGTGCTGTGGGGCATTAAAAAGTAGACAGGAGCCAGGTGTGGTGGCACATGCTTGTAGTCCCAGCTACTTTGGGAGGCTGAGGCAGGAGGATCACTTGAGCCAAGAAGTACAAGGCCCGCGTGGGCAACATAGCAAGACTTCATCTCGTAAAACAAAATCCCACTGCAGATGTGATTTCAGTTCTTCTTCCCTAGTCCCCTGAGGGATTTATTCATTCATAAAGATTTTTGTGCATATGGAGGTAACTGATGATGAAAGAATCCTTTTGCAGGGAGGTAGGAAAGAGGTGGCAATGAGTGAAAGGGTACTGGACAATATCTCCTCACAGGTCTTGAGTTCCCAGCATGCTGCACACTCACCCTCCTGCACTGCAATGTCCATTGGGCTTGCGCTGGCGCTCTGTAGCAGCTCCTGGTACGACTGGGCCGACTGGTCAAACAACTGCACGAGGAGTGCACAGGTCTTCTCATACTCACAACGCCCAATGGTGGACAGCTGGTCCAACTGCTGCTGGACCAGCCCCGTATCCTCCAGAGGATCTTCCAGGCCATCTCTATTCCCAAGGGAAGAAGGAAGGCAGCGCTCTTAAAATATGACTACTGATTTCCCCACTATAGCAGCTCTCTGACTTCTTCACTTAGCCACCATTTCCGACTGTAGAGGCCTACATCCAAACATTACTTTTTCCCAAGGAAGAATGTTTAATGAGGCAGAAGGCCAATGTCTTCGCCCTAGCATCAGTCTCCCTTAGGTATATTCTGCTTGTTGGTGTCAAATCTTACAATCTGAATTCTCAACTCTTAATGTTTTTCTGCCTTAAACCTCAAAGTCCTGCCCTTCTCACCTCTCTGACCTCTTGACTCTTAGTCTTTCGCTTGTTCCTGACTATAGTAAACTATAGGATAAGTACACAGTCTTGTGTGGGAGGCCATTGTGGCCAGATGTGTCTTGGAATTCAGAACTGTTCAGATTGGAGGAAGGCAGTATGATGCTTCTACCACATCATATAAAACCCTTGATGGGCTTTGTGGCACATCAAACTCAACGTTCCTATAGCAAAACTTATGAATATTATAAATGGTCATACGAAGTAGGATTTAAAAAAAAAACTATAAATGGTCTCATACCAACTCCTGTCCAGTTTTGTAACAAGTGAATTCTAATGCCAAACTGATGAGGAAATTTCTTTTGTCACATCTTTGACTTTGGAATTGCAGACAAGGCATTGTGGACCTCTACTAGGTCTTGCTTTATCTGCCAGCTCCTAGATTTTAACATCTTGTCCACTGAGGAGCTCTTCTGTTGTTACACTGCAGTATGATAATGCCAGCAGCAGCAGCAGCAGGAGCAGCAGCAGCAGCACTAAAACTAGCTGTGTGCTTACCACGTGCTACACACTGCGCCAGGTCATACTAATTTAATCCTTGTAAGAATCTTATGAGGTAGGCCTATTATTATTTGATTTTACAAATACAGAAATGGAGCAGCTTGCCCAAGAGTACACAGCTACTAACTGGCTATCTGGCCCCAGAGCCTACAAACATATAACCACTCCCCAACAATGCCTCACTAAAGCCAGCTGAATCCTCAGGAGTGGAAGCTATGGAGATGACAGGAGAAGGCCTGCTGGTGAACTTCATGAATACTCAGATTTTGAACTGATTCAAGTCATAAACAGTTAAGACTATAACTCACGACTATTCAATGCACTTGGGGCTAAGCAAATTAAGAATCCAACTTAAAAATGCCCCAGACCCTTAGACGCCAAGTAAATTCTCTTGACAGCCAGTGAAAAGAAGAAAGCTATCTAAACAGGGATAATTTCATTTAATATAGGTCATTTTTGAAAGGGCTTGACACTTCTTTAGCTACGGGTTTTTGGTTCAGTTAAGTCAATGTAGACAGAAACCATGTGTGAATGTAATGCAATCAGTGATCAGGGGCTTAGAATTCTTATGTGTTCTAGCTCTGGCATTATAATTGACAACTAGATTGTGTAATCTTTATCCACTTATTTCTTTAGGAGTTCACATTAAGCACCTATAAGTTACACATTATAATTCTTTTCATCTATATCTTATAAATGTTTCTCACATTGAAAGAAAAACAGCGACAAGGACAAACATATGGATATACTCGGTATTCAAAGATATTGCTATGGACAGTGAAAAGGGGGAATATGAATAGAATATAAAGGTTCAAGCAACAAGACCATTCTATCAGGCTTTATGCTCTCAGGCTACTCTGCTGACAAGGAAAAAGAATCATGAACAGCAGCAGCTCCAATGAGACAACCTTCGAGTACCTTTTTGCCAATGGGGTGTCTGATCTCTAGGAAGTGTGACAATAGACCACTGGTGCGGGGATGAATGAGGCTAAGTTTCCTTACCTCAGTATGATGTGCACAGATTCCAACCGGGATGTGATGTAGGCTTTGGTGACCTCAGGAGTGTAAGTTTCCAGCATGTGAGGCTCTGTGGCTTTGACATACGGCACAGAGGCTGCCAGACGCTGCCACAGGCTCAGAAGATAGTGCACACTATTTGGAGCAAATTCCCAGTGCTAAAGAAAAGTAGAAAAGCAGAAGGCACATTTTTCATTTCTGTACACGTTAGTCCCATACTATCAACACAGAAGATAAAGACTTTTTTCTTTTTTTAAAAAAGAGGATAGACTTTTGTGGGCTTTGGTCTGTGTATGACAACTAGTTAAATGTGTTTATTAGTATTTCAGAGAGTAAGCATCTAATGAGAAGGGCTGCTCTATGCTGGCTGTGTAAGCCTTACCACAAGGAAAGCCATGTATAAGTGGGTCTCAACCATTAGTATGCATGAGAATCACCTGAAGAAATTGTTAGACACACCAAGGCTCTACCATTAGGACCTAGTGAACCAGAAATTATGGGGATAAGATTCAAGAATCTAAATTTTTTCATCAGTCCCCTAGATGACTGTGATACAAGCCATAAAATTTGAGACCCATTGTTCTATATTACACGACTAAGAAAGATAGGGCATCAACTCTCTTTTTACTCTTCTGTCTAGCTCCCTGTTCCAACCTTGGCTTTTTTGGGGTGACTATGAGGGAATTCTCTCTGGGATGAATCTAAATATTATCCTAGTAATTCCCACATTTTCCTCTCCCCACACTACTTGCACTTGTGTAAATATAAATCACAGGCCACAATAGTAACTACTCTGCAAGGCCATACTGTATTTATGGTTACCTTTGCCAAGAAAAAAAATATATTCTTACATGGTTAAAACCAATAAGCAAGAGAAGAGATTACAGTATTTAGGAAGGAAGACACACGTAATCAAAGACAAACCTGTAGGCTGGTCACTGTGAAGTTGGCTATCAATCGGATGACCTCAGGGTAGTTTTCCACCTTTACCAGTTCTCCCAGTTGATAGTTACTCTTCAATCGGGCCAGTAGTCTGCAAAACTCATGGTAATTGTTTGGGTCTGATAAACTCTGGCAATAGCAGAGGAGAAAAATAAAAATGTAAAATGTGACAACATACTTCAAGAATGATGTATACTTGAGATGGCATGGGGGAAGGGGTAAAATCTACTTTTTAACTTCTGGGCTGCAGGTCATGATTCAGAATGATACGTCCATATAATGTTCAGAAACAATTTTTTAAAAAGTCACTTTGAAAAGGGACAGTCACATTTATTATTTCGTATGTTCACAATAATAACTCCATGAGATGACATTATTAGCCTCAATGGACAGAGTTTGAAACAGAAGCCCAGGAGGATCACACTGAGGCAGTAAAGCTCATTATGGCAGAAGTGGGCACGACTTAAGACGTGACTAGCTTGTCTGCTTATTGATTGCTACCAACAAAAGGAATCTAATGAAATTTTCATTTCCACATCTGTCAAACTGATCATTAAGCAAAACTAACCAATAGTTAGCAAAGTTATACAAATGTTTCATATATTTATATCACTTACTGTAATTTATTCATATATTGTTTATATGATATAGTTATAACAAATATTACAGATATTTTAAAATCTATTCTACCAGTATATTTAATTGTATGTTTCCTGATATGTCTTCCTCTGTTGGCATATGTGGAATAAGACTTTGTTTTGTTCACCGGTGTATCCCTGGTACAGAGTAGGTACTCAATATAATTTGTTGAATAAATGAATGAATTTTAAAAAGAGGGACAAAACTGAGTATATTTTAAAATAAACTGCTTTTTAATTTTCTTCTAGTGTAGAGAAGTGATACTTTCAAAAAAATACTGAATCACTGGGACTTCAAAAGACAAAAAGGGCAATCGAGTTATGAAATGAACATTTGAAAGAAGTATATTCCTTCCCACCTAAAAGCACTCCTATATACTTAGGTTACCAATAAACATTTTTTAAAAATGGTAAACAAAATCAAAAAGCAAATGTTAGATTTTTTTGTTTTTGAGACAGAGTCTCACTGTCACCCAAGCTGGAGTGCAATGGCACGATCTCAGGTCACTGCAAACTCCGCCTCCCGGGTTCAAACGATTCTCCTGCCTCGGCCTCCCAAATAGCTAGGATTACAGGCACGTGCCGCCATGGCCAGCTAATTTCTTTTGTAGTTTTAGTAGAGACAGGGTTTCACTATGTTGGCAAGGCTGGTCTTGAGCTCCTGACCTCAAGTGATATGCCCACCTTGGCCTCCCAAAGTGTTGGGATTACAGGTGTGAGCCACTGTGCCTGGCGATGTTAGATTCTTAATTTCTTGGGGGAAAAATGACTAGCTTCTTCCTTATTTCCTTATAGCAAAGTGATTCTTTCCCGTAACTCCTACATTTCTGAAGCTGGAGGATGTAAGCTCCTCTTTTGGGCAAATGCTCTCAGAACTGGCCTACAAATAGAGATTCACATCAGTCTTCCCTGAAGAACAATAGTCTGAATTATTTACTGGACCTTGGGATGGATTTCCTTCTGACTCATAACAGCTGGGTGCACACTAATCCTATACATATGTAAATTCTCAGATAAACTTACTTGTGGGTTTTCCAGTATTCGTTTAACACCATCAACAAGATGAGAGAGAAACTTGGCCCTCTCTGCATTGTTAAACAGGGATCTTCTGACTGAGGCAATCTGTACCAAGCAGGATAACACCTAAATGCAGGGCAGAACCCAAACACAATGATTAAAAAGACTGTACAGTTATTTTCACCAGAAACGTTCCACCTCCTACAATATCCTTCTTTAGGATATCTGAAACAACATTATTTTAAAAAGAGAAAAGAAAAGAGCATAGATCCAACCAGACCATAGCAGCCCTTTAAATTCAGTTTGGAAATTCCTTTAGGAACAAATTCCTTTGACCACTCCAATGGCATCTTTGTTCTTGCTAAGATATATTACTTCACCCTTAAAAATATCAAGCAATTTATACTTTAAAGTTTTAGATTTAGTTTTCTTGGCTAATCTGAGCTTGACATGTAGATATTATGTGCTTATGTCAATACATGCTATAAAGAAATAAGCATATCGGCCGGGCGTGGTGGCTCACACCTGTAATCCCAGCACTTTGGGAGGCTGAGGCAGGCAGATCACAAGGTCAGGAGTTTGAGACCAGCTTAACACAGTGAAACCCCGTCTCTACTAAAAATACAAAAAATTAGCTGGGCATGGTGGCGGGCACCTATAACCCCAGGTACTTGGGAGGCTGAGGCAGGAGAATTGCTTGAAGCCAGGAGGTGGAGGCTCCAGTGAGCCGAGATTGTGCCACTGCACTCCAGCCCGGGCAACAGTGAGAGACTCCATCTCAAAAAAAAAAAAAAAAAAAAATCAGCTTTGGCCAGGCGTGGTGGCTCATTCCCGTAATCCCAGCACTTTGGGAGGCTGAAGCAGGCAGATCACCTGAGGTCGGGAGTTTGAGACCAGCCTGACCAACAAGGAGAAACCCCGTCTCTACTGAAAATACAAAATGAGCTGGGTATGGTGGCTCATGCCTGTAATTCCAGCTACTCAGGAGGCTGAGGCAGGAGAATCGCTTGAACCCATGGATTGTGCCATTCCACTCCAGCATGGGCAACAAGAACAAAACTCTGCCTCAAAGAAACAAACAAAAAAACACAAGCCAGCTTTATCCCTGAAGACATTTCCCCCTGTTCCTGCTGTTAGATATTTATATTCTGTGTTTGCCCCTCTAGATCTGCTTTTGACCCTTCTCTACCCTGCCCTATTCCCTAGGAGGCTGACCTCTGTTGAGGACAGCAGCCAAGCTCCCTTGCCTCTGGCTTCTAGTTGGCTTCAACCAATGGAAAGCACCAGCAGGAGATCAGAGGGCAGAGGGAAGATGGTACCCCTTTTCCGACCATCCACCTGGCTATGTGGTGGCAGAGTTTCTCTAGTGATGGCCATGGTTCTTGTTGTCCAGCCCTCCTCTAAGCCACAGCTTCAACTCTCTCCAGATTTCCTTCACTTGCCCTTTGAGGCTCCCCACTACTGCCAGCCCCAGGGGCATGTACCACCACCCCCTGTTGGTGTCCCTTCATTTTAACCACACCTTTGCAAGAAGTACTTTCTTAATTATCCCTCTTGACTGTGCTACTTTTTCTTGCAGTAACCTTAACGATACATCCAACAACACTGAAATCATGTTTCAGTGACCATAAAGGTCTATATTAATTTGGAGAAGTGCTACAATGACCAGAAAAGTCCTCTACTGCACAAACACTACGCATACCACTCATTACTTCACTGTGTTTTCTTTATATATTTTGTGTACAACACCAACCAGTAATTTACACCAACAATCTGAAATACCAGACCAATAGTATTTTAGAACCTGAATGAATTTTGAGGTTTTAGGTTAATTATGGCTTTAAAGGAGAAATACACCATTCCCAATAGCTTTCAAATGTTATTCAGGGTAAGTATGCAAATTAGCCCTCCCATTACAGTTTCCATTTATGACAATCTAACGTACACCTGAGGGGTTTTCTAAGTCAGGACAATCTTAATAGTTCAACTAGACAGTATTAGGTGAATCCCCAGGTGCTACCCTGTGGCCATTTCAGGAACAGCATAAAGTCAGATACACGATGAGACCCAAAAGAGCTTGACCATCTGCAGGAACTGGCCTTTAGACAGGAATAATTTAAAAATAATTAAGACTTCATGGCTAGAACCTTTAGGCTACAAGCTTAATCTCAAAAGACTAGATAACTAGCCTAGTATTTCTATGCTTTACTTGTATAATTTTATAAAACAAAATGAATATAAGGCTCATTCACCATTGCTATCTTCTAGAAATAGGTTTGCTTTAAGAAACAGTAGTCCTGACTCACCAGAGGTGAAAATGAAGGAGGGATGGAATGATACAGGTCAAAAAACAGCTGCAGGGTTGAAGAATCTAAGAATGCTGGGGAAGAAAAAGACAAAAGACATCATTTTATTAGGGATGAACACTGCCGCTGGCATACTTCCAGCACTGTACATCAGGGAGCACATCCTTATGCCTACTTATCTTACAGAGCATTTATTTCGTTTGGAAGTGATAAGCAAATAGGGGCTTTTCGGTTTTCCTTTTTCTTTTCTCTTTTTCTTGAGACGGAGTCTCCCTCTGTAGCCCACTGTAACCTCTGCCTCCTGGGTCCTGGTTCAAACGATTCTCCTGCCTCAGCCTCCCGAGTAGCTGAGATTACAGGCACGTGCCACCATGCCCGGCTAATTTTTGTATTTTTAGTAGAGACAGGGTTTCACCATGTTGGCCAGGCTGGTCTTGAACTCCTGAGATCGTGATCCGCCTGCCTAGGCCTCCCAAAGTGCTGAGGTTACAGGTGTGAACCACCGCGCCCAGCCTCTTTTCTTTTTTTGAAAGTACTATTTTAGCTTCTCTAAGAAACAGATTCATTCTTTCAATTCTCTGAGAACTTAATCTGAACACCTCTGTCCATAAAAAGAATTCAAAACTTTTATCCTTCTGGAATACAAAGACAAACTAAGAACAAGCTGTTCTGTTTGATTTTGTTTTTAAAGACAGTTATTATCCTAACTAGATTACAGAAGTCTCTGAGCAATTAATGCAAGGTGAAATACGTAACTATTATTCATCAGCAATTTTAAAAGTTCTTTGACACTGGCAGATCTATAAGATCACTCCAACAACCTCCCCCACATTATAAAATAGATGTTACTGGCCGGGCACAGTGGCTCACACCTGTAGTCCCAGCACTCTGGGAGGCCAGGGTAGGAGAATCACTTGAGCTCAGGAGTTCAAGACGAGCTTGGGCAACATAGTGAGACCCCATTTCTACAAAACATAAACAAACAAAATTAGCCGGGTGTGGTGGCATGTGCCTGTAGTTCCAGATACTTGGGAGGCTGAGATGGGAAGACTGCTTGAGTCCCGGAGGTTGAGGCTGCAGTGAGCTGTGATCGTGCCACTGCACTCCAGCCTGGGTGACAGAGTGAGACCCTGTCTTTAAAAAACAAACGAACAAAAAAGACGTTCGAATTTTTTCTCAATTCTCCCTCAGAATACACAGGGGTTGGCCGGGCGCGGTGGCTCAAGCCTGTAATCCTAGCACTTTGGGAGGCCGAGACGGGCGGATCACGAGGTCAGGAGATCGAGACCATCCTGGCTAACATGGTGAAACCCCGTCTCTACTAAAAAATACGAAAAACTAGCCGGGTGAGGTGGCAGGTGCCTGTAGTACCTGCTACTCGGGAGGCTGAGGCAGGAGAATGGCGTAAACCCGGGAGGTGGAGCTCGCAGTGAGCCAAGATCGCGCCACTGCATTCCAGCCTGGGCGACAGAGCGAGACTCCGTCTCAAAAAAAAGAATACACAGGGGTTGCCAGGAGTTCTTTAGATCATCCTACAGACACTCTGTAGGGGAGTGACAGCCTTTGAGGTGGAGGAAGTTCTGTTACCTGATCTCCAGCTGGTGGGAATCTGCACTGTACACAGGTCGTCTGAAGACTCATCAGTGGAAGTGCCGATGAAGTCAAAGTTGAGGCAGTTATGAGTGAGCTTGAGCAGTTGCATGAGCAAGCCATGCTGACTTTCATCATTCAAGTTTAGATTCTTTCCTGAAGCCTGTAAAAAATTACCACATAATGAGCCCCCAAAATCACTCCTCTCTTCCCAGCTTGCTACCAGACTCGACAAAGCTGTTAAGTCAGAAAAGGAGGGCTATGTGGGAGCACAGTAAAATGTCCCCTTCTCTCCAAAGATACCGTACTTCTATCACCTGTTACTATGAAAATACCTAGCTCCTTATATACTATTAAAACATATTTACTATAAAAACATGAAGTTGGTATTTAAAGAAAGCCCCGTTTTAACACTTACACTTATTCCTCACACAATGTAGACATAATGGTCACAGAGAATTCTGAAGCAATATGGCTCCTGTGATTATTTTATTGGCATGTGAGATCCTAGTTATTTCTAGACGGGGCAGGGATTAAACTCTGGAGGGAGCTCTGAGAAAGTAGCACCCTGCCCTACTTTCTTTCCTTGTTTTTACAACCACTATTACCAAAAATCTCTCAAACCAGAATTAAAATCATCACTGAATTTTATTTCCTCATCTGCAATGTACCTGCAGACTACAGGTGAGGACTGGCCATAGCTACCGTGCCTGTCCCTTCCAAGGTTACACTAGCTGAGCCTTCGTGACTGGCTGGCTAATTATTTCTTCTGATGGTATCAGTAAGGAGGATTCAATCCTTAGTTTTCTTAAAAGCTTTTCCCCTCCAGGGGGTGCAACAGCTTTTGCTAGGCAGCTTTGCTTAACCTGAGGATTATCTGGGAATTCTAAGGTAAAACTAAGTAATTGAGGAAAAAGATGAATATCGTTAACTGGAATAACAGAAAGAATACAAACTGGCTTCTAAAACTAAAATTGGGAAATGTTGGAAAATGAGAACAAAACTACAAAAATGAACAAAAAGCCAGAGGCCAACCCTATTTAGCTTTCTATAGGGACAAAGCATCTGAGCTGTGTTGCAACTGTGTGGAACTCCCAGCTTAACACTTCTTTCTCAGTTCAGCTCTATCAATAAATGAACTGAAACACCAACTTTCAATTTTAACACAGGTAATTTCCTTATGTGATACTGTCTACCCCTCCAGGTTATTAAATCCAAATGGATGTTAAAAATTCAAAATCTACTTTTCCTTACAGATGTTGCTTGTTTATGTGCTGCTTTTAACTCAGCGGGGGACAGGAGAACCAGCCTGATTTCTGTATGCTAACAATGTAGTCTGAACCTACTTTCAGAGCACTAAGAATCCAAACACCATAAAACGAACATGCTTTCACACCATATAGAAATATTTTATGTGGTTATAAAAACAACAACAACAGAACTTCAAACTTTGAGTTAGGTAAACCAGATCCCTTTAAGATAGGAGTATGGGATAAGTGCTCACTTACTTCTCTTTACCTAGAGGAATTGATCTGAAATAGGGAAGTGACAATCATTTCTCCAACCTCAGTGGTCACTCTGACCAGTTCCTTCAACACCTCTATGAGTCTTATGTAAGAGATGATGATTAAAGAGATGCATAAACTCTCATAGGGTCAGTTACAAGCTGACATTTAACAAATTCCCATCTATTCTCATTCTTTCAAAAGAAACTGGGAAACATGACCCAAACTACATGCTCACCTGTTTTAGTAAATTGCAGGAAAGTGTGAAGATATCAAATAATGATGAATCGCGAAAAGAAGAGGCTATTTTTCTGTGCTTGGTTAAAGGATGGGTGGTGTCTGCCTGTGCAGAAAAAGAAGAAACCAATGCAAAGAATTAATTGCAAAAAAAGAATTTTTCATGTAGACTTCAAATAAGCTAGAAGGATTTCCAGTAAGAGCAACATAAACATAAAATACATTTTTAACATTTAAATTATTGTGAAACCATATCTAGTGAAAGGATGTAGGATAGTAAACTGCTAATAGCCAGGGTATCCTTTCTCTCTAGCTTACAGAAGGAAAACAAAAGGAGAGATAATCTCTGCTGCAAATTCTTATTTTCCTTTGTATTCAGGGAGGTAAAACTTAAATTGTTGGCAGACATTATTGATAATTACTTTCATGTTGTACTGCAGGTTAATGGGCCAGGCGTGGTGACTCACCTCTGTAATTCTAGAACTTTGGGAGGTTGAGGCAGGAGGATCATTTGAGCCCAGGAGCAGACACAGTGAGACCCCCCACCACCACCTCTAAAAATTAAAAAAAAAAAAAGTCGGTGTGGTGGTTCATGCCTGTAAGTCCCAGCTACTCAGGAGGGCCTTCAGTCCAGGCATTCATGGCTGCACTGTACTCCAGCCTGGGCAGCAGAGTGAGATCCTGTCTCTTAAACACCCACAGACAGAGTAACGAGGCTTTGATTTTGGTAAGCAAAACTCAAAACAAAAACAAAAATAAAAACAAAACCTCAACGTGAAATTACTGCAGAATTTCCAAATGACAACAGCCCATAATATTTGCCTCCTTTTCTAACCTATTTCAACATATTGTCTATACCGCAGAAGTGAAAACTTAATTTAAGTGGTTGTATTGGTCTCTTATTTCGCTGTTCTTGTGTTTTCAGCTAAATTATAAATGTTTTTGTGGCTAAGAACTAAATCTTTTACTTCTTTAGTATGCTCCTAGTCCTAATACACAGTAGGTACTCAACATGTGGAATAAAATAACTTCAAAGTTGTCAAGAGTATTTTCAGTCTAACCACGTACTGAAAGCTTAAATCTCTTCTGTTTACTGATCAATTCATCCAAGAGGAGACTCATTTTGTTTTTGCCACATTAAAGTGTAACACAGCCAAGATTACTGACAAACCAGTTTTCCTAATTTTATTTCTAGGTTCTAAGTAAGAATAGTGGCAGAAATATACTTTCTTTTTTGAATCTGACAATCACAAAACAATGGAAAATTCAAATGATTTAGAGGCTCAAAATATTCTCCAATTTTTGCTTCTGTCATTGTGTTATCATGTGTCTTACATAATAAAGGTCTTGCTAAATTATATATAATATAATCTGTTATACTGATCATAATACAGAGAATGACTACACACTAAATGGTACACACAATTTCATCATTTTCTTAGAAAAGTAAAATCTTGAAAAGTTTTTATTATACATATATCAAAATGTATGTACTCTGTGGGGCCAAGCTTCAAAGGGGAAAACATTAAGTCCACAATCTCTTAGTTAATGCATCTGCTCTTCTGCTGCAAAGGTAAGAGTGGTTAAACAGCACATTAGTTGTTAAGAACACAGGCTTTAGGATAAGACTATTTGGGTTTGAATCACATTCGTTGCTTGTGAAACCTTAGGCAAATGATTTCATCTTTATGTGCCTCAGTTTCCTGATCCAGAAAATGGGATAAACACAGTACCTACCTCATATGACTGTTTCAAGAATAAAATTAGTTACTATAAAGTGCTTAGAATGGTGGTAACAGTGATCACTCAAAAGTGTAAGCTGTTATTATTTTGGTAATTACTGATCACAATGGGGACTGCATGTGGCAAGAGAACACAACAGGGACTCCCAATTTTCACAGGCTCTCAGCTAACACATTTGAAATAGGACCAACTCACAGTTAAGATTTCTCAGGGTTAATAAAAATGTCTGCAGAATTATGAGCAATAGCAAAAGTAATGCTAATATCATTAATATGCTTCCAACTTAAGGGTGAGATGTTATAACTAATATCGATACGGGCCTGTTCTATAATCACAAATTTTTAGCTGGATAAAAAAGTAAATGACTAAAATACAGCCAGGGCAAAAGAAAGCCACTGGTGTTTCCTCTGTAGTATTCTGTGACATCAATGACCATTTAAAACTTTCAAGGTATACAGGAGCAGAAGGGGCACACAAAAGGTCGACCTTTATGGTCCCTTTTTTGAAGTCATTCTCTTTCATGGGCAAAGCAGTAGTATTTCACCCTTTTTTTTTTTTTTTGAGATGGAGTTTCACTCTTGTTGCCCAAGCTGGAGTGCAATAGCACGATCTTGGCTCACTGCAACCTTCGCCTCCCGGGTTCAAGCGATTCTCCTGCCTCAGTCTCCCGAGTGGCTGGGACTACAGGTACATGCCACCACGCCCGACTAATTTTTTGTATTTTTAGTAGAAACGGGGTTTCAACATGTTAGCTAGGCTGGTCTGGATCTCCTGACCTCAGGTGATCCGCCTGCCTTGGCCTCCCAAAGTGCTGGGATCGCTTTTATCTCTAAAATGAAAATTAGTACCAATTTAAAAAAAAAAAAAAAAAAGCTAAAATGGAAAAGGGGAAAATAACCTGGAGACAGAAGGGGAACAGGACAAAAAGTGAGTTGCACTTACAGAGGAAAACCCAATGGAACTATTTTGTTTCAAAAGGGCATTAATCACTTACCGCAAAAGCACACAACTGCCAAAAAAGATCATCTCACACACAGCAGAAAACACCAATACTAAGAAAAAATATGGCACTTACTTCAATGAGGAAGGCTGTAGCACTTACTTGATTAATTTCATTGGTTAGCTGAGATAAAATTGTGACACCAATGATGCAGTATTCAACACTATCCTGGTTAAAAAAAAGCATAAGGTAGAAAGAGCTGTCATGGGTGCTCGGTTTTGGCATTTGGCATGCACTCATACTTTTGAATGATGGCCTCCTGTGTCATCAGTAAAACTGCCTAGACAAGGCAGCAAGGAATCATAAAACTGTTTTTTTGCTGGACATAAAACCTAACTGTCACCACAAAGGAACACTGAGAAATCTGACTTCATCAAAATTTAAAACTTTTACATTAAAAAAATTCCCATAAACATTATAGCACATACATTTTAAAAAGGTAAATTGCAAAATACATCACTAAAGTAAATGACAAGTAAGCAACACATTTTACAAAGAGACTGTATACAACAATAAGCAAAAGGTAAAGAATGTGAAGAAATGTGCTTAAGATATAAATAGAAGTTCACAGAAAAACAAATATAAGCAATAAATACAAGCATATGAAAATTTGTCTCACTCATAACCCAAACAATAAGATACCAATTTTTTAAACCTATTAAATGGGAAAAAGTAAAAAGTTTAGCTTCCAGGGCTGAGGTAAGCAGGTCCTCTTATCAACTGTTGGTGAAAGTAGATACAGTCATGAGTCACTTAATGATGGCGATACATTCTACGAAATGTGTTATTAGAGGATTTCACTGTTGTGCTAACATCATAGAGTGTACTTACAAAAACCTACGTGGTACAGTCTACTACACACCTAGGCTATATGGTACAGGCTATTGTTCCTAGGCACAAACTTGTATACCACATGACTACACTGTGGGCAACTATAACAATGGTAAGTGTTTGTGTACCTAAACATAGCAAAGATAAAGTAAAAATACAGCATAAAAGATTTTTTTCAAAAAAGCTACACCTGTCTAGGCGCCTACCATGAATGAAGCTTACAGGATTGAAAGTTGTTCTGGGTGAGTCAGTGGTGAGTGGATGTGAAGGCCGAGAACATTGCTGTACACCACTACAGACTTTATAAATATGTACACTTAGGCTACACTAAATTTACTTAAAAAATAAATTGTGCCACGACATTAAGACAGTTCAACATCACTAGGCTCCATTATAATTTTATGGGACTGCTGTTGTGTATGTGGTCTACTGTTGACCAAAACATCATTATGAAGTGCATGCTGTATAACTTTTTTGAAGATAACTTGGAAATATCTTTCCTAGGCTAGGAATTGACCCTACGAACACACTTATTCAAAATAAATCTACCGGGCTACTCACTGAGGTATTAATTTAACACTCAAAAAACAAAAAACAAACAAACAAAAAAACCCAGGAAATGCCCATCTATAAAATATTAACGAATTAATTAAATTAACTAATTAATTAAATATGATAATTAAATTATCATATTTTCGCTTGGGACCATATATAGGGATTTGAAAGACTGAGACAAGGTTTGTTTTCGCCAACATGCAAACACTACCAAGACACACTAAGGGTAAAAAACATGCAGAAGAGAATATATCAAATAATTCTATTTTGTGTCATGTTTAAAAAGTAGATAAGCGCGTAAGCGTGTGTGTGTGTTTATATATATGTATATGCTGGCTCTGTCATTCCCATTACATCAAATATATACACTGTACCTGTAAAAACCTTGTGACATCTGTGATTGCATTTCTGAACACATAGTCATCCTTCTGACAGTCAAACCAGCCCAGTTTTGTGATTCTGGCATATAACTGAATAAGTGCTTGTGTCACGAAAGTAGCCAACTTTGGCCGAGTGGCAAGGTAGTTGAGCACATAGTTCCCTATTAAAAAAAAAACAACAAACAAAACCAATCCACATAATAGAAAGCTCTGCCAGAGAAGGGTGTATATCTTTAGACATGCTAAATGGCCAAGAAATTATAAATTTAGACTATTTAACCCAAACTGTCTTAATTCTTTATGCTACTGTTCCAAATTTAAGATTAGTAGGTGTTCTAATTCAGAATTTTATTTTGTCACGTGAAGAATTTGCAGTATAGCCACTATGACTCTACTCCTAGGTAGCTAAAGAATGTGGTCTACACAGAATTCAAAATCGTTAACAATGTTTTTCTTAGTTATTAGCGACAGTAAAGAAAAGATGAATGAAAGAAATCTTCTGATGACAAAAGGGAGGACTTAGGCTTTATTCAGAAGTAATTGCGTTGGGCCCTTCACTTTCTTAAGCCCCAAATTCTGGAAACAAGCTGGATTCTAGACATTTTTGTATGGTTAGCAATCTCAGCACATCACTGAACAAACACATACATTTGACTATTACTAGCGCATCACTAAACAAACTATTTTCTTCAAGACAGAACAGAAAATTTTCCACTTACGAATATCTATTCGCTGTTCCAATGGTAAGGGGTTGTTTGTGCGTGATACAAGCTTGGTAAGGCATGTAGCTGCCAGTAACTGGGAGTAAGAGGACTGTGAAAAGAGAGGGAAAAAGGACTTAAAATTGTTTTGAGCAAGCCAGCCACAAGGTTTTTAACTTGGAGATCTGTGCTCAGACTCAAGAAAAGGCAATCAGTTTTGGCAGATTTGATCCTCTGGATTTTAGAGGGTCTACTGCTCTGAGGAAAAATGAACCACATAGCATAAGTTTATTTAGCTGACTTCAACAATGAACAATGGGAAAGATAAAGTAGCAGTATGATCAAACTGAATCTAATACCGATATCTGCTCCACTCTGAGGGACAGACACTAGAGGGCAACTTTTCAGAAAGAGAGAGATTAGAAAAAAAAAATCTCTCCCCTTATTTAAACCAAGAAATCTCCCCTCAGTATCTGTTATAATGATATTTCAAACAGTTTCACCTCAAAATATTTCTATGGCATATTAGAGAAAAAAGAAAAGAATTATTAGAGGATACCACCATACTATGCTGTGTAATTAATCTCCAAATTGTATCTTTCCATCAGTGCAGCTATCAATCAGCTATTGTGCTGGGAAATGTATATGATAGTTTAAAAGTAAACTTAAGGTTATTTGTGAGAAATAAAAATTATGCCTTAAGCAATGGAATAGCTTCATCACATTCTCAAATGTGGCTTTAACAAGTATTAACCTTATGGAGACTCAAAGCATTCCATTTGATCAAAATGCCTAAAAAGGAGCCATGGAAGAATTCCTCCATGTGGCTATATTATATACAATGCCATAAAACAGGAACAGGCTCAGAACCATTAAAGTATTTTAATCAAGGGTCAAGGACAATTGTCTATGACACAGAAAGTCCTTAAGATGGTAGTCCTTCAGACTATCCATTTATGTTAGTATTACATAATACCACCAGGTATAAGATTAGTGGTGAGAGAGACTGTACTGTCGCTCCAGCAGGAGTTAGCTGGCAGAGCTAGCTGGGCATCTCCCACAGGACAAACACAAGCGCATCAATCCAAACACCAAGTGATTTAAGAGAAATATATAAAACACTACGTGCATAAAACTCAGAACAGACCACCACACAATCTCTGACCATGACTTTGTATCATTCAGATACTTGGGGAAAAAGTTATATCCCTCAGCTACTAAGGGATAATTTCAACCAATTATAATTTGTTCTATTTATTGTATAAACAATATTATGATACTTATAAAAAGTCAAAAATAAAGTCAACTAGAATTCTATCCTTTCAACCAATTAACTTTCATTTTTTCACATTTCATTCCAGTCTTATGGAAACTTTTGGAAAGCAAATTTCGATTAACTAATTCTTTAGGGATTACTGTTGTTCAGAATACCACATGGCATTATCATTTCTTTCTTTTTTTTTTTTTTTTTTTGAGACGGAGTCTCGCTCTGCCGCCCAGGCTGGAGTGCAGTGGCCAGATCTCAGCTCACTGCAAGCTCCGCCTCCCGGGTTCACGCCATTCTCCCGCCTCAGCCTCCCGAGTAGCTGGGACTACAGGCGCCCGCCATCTCGCCCGGCTAGTTTTTTGTATTTTTTAGTAGAGACGGGGTTTCACCGTGTTCGCCAGGATGGTCTTGATCTCCTGACCTCGTGATCCACCCGTCTCGGCCTCCCAAAGTGCTGGGATTACAGGCTTGAGCCACCGCGCCCGGCCGGCATTATCATTTCTTTTTTCACACACACAAGAATGATGGCTAATATATGTGCCTTTTCTTGGTGTCTTCTCTTTCATCTGTGAAAGAGCGTAATATAGGTAAGCACGACTGGGAAGCTGTTTGAGGATTAGGGAAAATATGAGGACTGCACTGTACGTTGCCACTTTATTTAAAGAAGGCCAGTGCTTGCTGCCGAAGTCTAGCTGGGATCTGCCTCTCATGATGCCCTTTCATGGGACCCTGGGGGGATCCTGCCCTTACCAACACTTCCATCTTGCCAAAGATAGTGATTTTATCGAATTATATCTCATTAGGAACATTATTTTGATCACTGCAATGACATTTTTAAGCTGGAGGAGGTTCTAATTCCATTTAAAATCCTACAATCTCCTGTAATTTCATTGTCAAGGTCACTGTTCCTGGACTTGCAAGGCAATAAACAGCAGCTGTGGCAGAGAGGACACAAAACACAGAGAAGACTGAGGATCTTGTATTAGGACTTCGGATTAAAAATGTCATTTATTGGCTGGGTGCAGAGGCTCACGTCTGTAATCCCAGCACTTTGGGAGGCCGAGGCGGGTGGATCACCTTAGGAGTTCGAGACCAGCTTGACCAACATGGAGAAAGCCCGTCCCTACTAAAAAAAAAAATACAAAATTAGCCAGGCTTGGTGGTGCATGCCTGTGATCCCAGCCACTCGGGAGGCTGAGGCAGGAGAATCGCTTGAACCCAGGAGGTGGAAGTTGCAGTGAGCCGAGATTGCGCCACTGCACTCCAGCCTGGGCAACAAGAGTTTTTTTGAAACTCCGTCTCAAAAAAAAAAAAAAAACATAATAAATAAAAAGGTCATTTATCTACAGTCCTATCTTATTCTGGAAAGGATAGGATATGGCACTTAAATGTAAAAGCAGAAAACAAGTTCTGGAAATTTAGGATGAAAAATTACAGAACAGAAATGCATGTTCAAAGAGATTTTCTTGATGAGGCTGTACGGCCGTTTTGCCAACCTGGTAGGTATGGTACTTTTTAAAAGTGAAAATAAGTCAGGGACACCTAGAAAAATCAGGAAACAGAAGCTATCCCAAGCCATCCCTACACAGACAACCAGAATAAAGTTTCCTAAGTGCCCGTTATCCTTTAGGATTTTCAGATCTTACGCACACTTCCTCTTTCGAGGAGTAGCTGGCACTTGCTCAGGCAATCGGGGCTGTTGGTAAATTCAACCAAGGCTTTCTCTGCCTGGAGTCGAGTGGTTGTGTCTGTGGTTTCATACAGCTGTTTGCACAGATTCTCTAGTTGGGCCAGGCTCTGGAAAAGATCAGTCAGGAAAGAAATCAGTTCAGCCTACTACAAATGCAAGCAACTGTGCTTAAAATTAACGAACAAAGATAAATAATAATCAGTAAAGAAAGAATTGCTTCTGAACTCTGAGGAGGACCTGGGTAACATTCACCTAATAACCATTTATAGGTCTCTTTATCTGATGCTATAGAAGACAAAATGATAAAATGCTTAAAATATCTATATACTTTTTCATCATTCCCTTGAAGATCAATCATACATGATACATTTTTCCCCTTACAAATAGCCAGCCTCCTAAGCTTTCCTAAAAGGCTTTCAAATAAAAATTCAGAATTTACTTATTCTGCTATTAATGTAAAAAGTGTGAAATACTAGAGGCACGGCTACTAAAATTAAGCACATAAACATGACATAAGTGCCACATACATTTTCATATAGCTTTAAATATTCCTTTGAATAGTAGTTATTAGCTTACAATGCTGTATATGTGTAAAGATGGTCACCTGTATGAGAAAACCTCTAGAGAAAGCTTCAGGATGTATTTACGCACCTTCCTCCCTGGATCCCTCATGTCTAAAGTTCAGCAGACTCTCTTCTGTTGCACTTTAAACTCTTACTTCGGTTCCAAATTTAAAATGAAAGGATCAAAATAAATTCAACCCTAGCATATGCTCACTTAGAGATAAGACAAGGGAAACACCCACAAGCAAACTCTTCTCTCCAAATCTTGAACCAGTTCCAGGGAGGCAGGAAGGGGTATGGGTGTGTGCTTTGGTCAAAAACCCACAGGGATGCATATATACTTGCACTTAATGTGGTATTTAAAGGCAAAGAGGAAAGTAACTAGTTAAGACTATACTTAAATATCACCTTTCACTGACTGAAGTGGAGAGTAAACATCTGTTAGCCTTTAAAGGAATGGTTTGGACTTTAAGAAAAAACTGGAGCCTATTTTCACCAGCAGCAAGGATAGTCTGAGAGATCCTACTATTAGAAAGGACAATTCTGACAAGAACAAAAATAATAATAATTAAACCAACCTGTGTAAATTGCCTAAAATACATTACACAGCCAGTCTGCCCAAGGCTTTTCATTATCACTTTATTTCATTACACTGTGTCTTTATAAATCACAGCTTTTCCACTAAGCAGGAAAGCCCTTAGGGCAGGATTCATATTTTACTCAACCTGGTTAATAAATTTCCAACACTAACTGAAAGGAAACAAGAACGATGAATACTGACACCCTAAGAACGATGAATACTGACACCCTAAGATCATCAGTCTCACTTCAGAGAGCCCCCAAAGAACAAACACAACAACCTTGCCCTTAAAACAAAACAAACCATCTTTCGAATAATCTTGGGACTTTGATTAGGCTTATGTTTAACCTGTTTCTGATTTCCAGGGGTCCCACTTAATATCTTCTTCAATTCAAGAGCATGGAGAAAATTGCAATTGCAAAGTCAGATCTCAAGCAATAAAGTTCTACAAGTAGGACCTGAGTTTATTCACATGGCTTATGAACACAAGTAGAAGGTAAGGCTAATTACGTACATTCCATAAAATACATGCAAAAGCCATTTTTATGCTTGCCAGTACTGCTCAAGACCTTATTGAAAAAAATTATTTAGGAAAATAGGTAACAAGAAAGACATCAAGAGAAAGACACTGTAACTAAAACGTAAGCTGCTATAAAACCTGGCATCAGGTATCCGGGAGTAGCAGCAGCCTCAGACCCTCCACAGCCATCACACACTGAGCTTTCCAACATCCTGAACCGACACTCCCTAAACAGTCCTGATGCTTACGGTATAATGGCTCTTCTTAAAGTCTGATCAATCAGTTCCCATGGTTCCCCCATGCAACTCTTGTTTATGTTTATTACAACAAAGTTGTTCACATGACAATGGCTAAGCATCTGTCACAGGTAATTCCTTACTGCTAAAAACCTACATGCAGGTTATGGTGGGCTTTTTGCTGTTGTTTTGTTTTGATTTGCTTTAATTTAGCAGACAAAACATACTGCAGGGTAAGTCTGGTAATGCATTCTCAGCTCAGGAAACAAGACTGTTTAAAAAACAAAAACGCAATTTGACCATTTACACAGTTTGAAGAACGACAGCTCCATTTTTTTTTGTTCCCAGAAGAACAAATGGGAAACAATTATGTTTTCCCAAACAATTAGTGGAAACATCTGAAAAACAGGGTCATTTTCTTTGGGTTGCCCACACTACCAATGAAGGAGAGAGGAATGAGACATTAACATTTATGGTTTTTTAGTTACCAGCGTTTCCCAAACAAAACTAATGGTTAGGTTCTTTTGAATCACCTTCTTTTTGGCCTAGCATAAAATAATTTATCCTACAATTATTTGATTAGCTATTAAAACTAGTACTTCACACTAAGGGTGGCCAAAAACACACCACGGCACTCTCCTTGGCATGATAACATCTATGTCAAATGTTTTCCTATTCGTCAATTCTTATTAAGGATATCTATTCTGTGATGCCACTTTGGTCAGAGAAAATCCTCCAGAGAAGAATGTCTATTTTCTCTTCCTGAAAATTTGCCTATAATCCATGGAGAAAATTCTGCCTGGTCTCGCTGAAATAGAAAAGCACATTTGGTAAAATGCTTTATAAAAGTGAAAGGTGATCTTCAGCTAGCAAAATACTGCTTTTTAGCAAAAGAAACTCAAGAGGATTAATTCCCAAACCTAGAATCAGACCGATTTCACCAACAACAGTTACGATGAAGGTATTAAAATAATGCATCTTCTTTAATATCTGGCAACACCAGTATTTTAGTCTATTCAACTTGGATAGAGGATATGCAGCTAAGTTATTCTTATTTCAACATAAGGCGAGATTTGTTGAGATTACAGACCTTAGAATATAGTAATTTGTCTGGCAAGTTGCCTCTAAATTAGGGGAAAATAAAGATTTTGTTTGTACATTAGATGTTATATTACTCCACAAAGCAGAATACCTCAGATTTTACTTTATTTGTATAGAATTGCTCTTTAAATAGCCCAGTGGTTATACTTTTTTTTTTGAGATGGAGTCTCACTCTGTCGCCCAGAGACTGGAGTGCAGTGGTGCAATCTTGGCTCACTGCAACCTCTGCCTCCCAGGTTCAAGCAATTCTCCTGCCTCAGCCTCCCGAGTAGCTGGGACTACAGGCGCGTGCCACCACGCCTGGCTAATTTTTTATATTTTTAGTAGAGATGGGGTTTCACCATATTGGTCAGGCTGGTCTTGAACTCCTGCCCTCATGATCTGCCCGGCATGGCCTCTCAAAGTGCTGGGATTATAGGCGTGAGCCACCGTGCCCGGTCTATATTTTAAAATTAGCCTCACTGCTTAAAAAAAATCCACATGGAGAGTTCCAATCAGAGACCAGGATTCTTGCTTTTAGGAAGGAGTTAATGACACTCCCAATAATACTGAGTACTGAACTAGACACAAGCATAATCCTTGGGTGACCAGTCAGATCTGCAGGTGTTCTGAAGAGCACATTCTTAACCTGACTGCCACCCGGCCATCAGAGATGAGCAGAAGCTGCCATCATGTTACAAAATATAGGCTCAATCCAGAGAAGTTCTAGCAAACTTAGAGTAGATTTACCAATTCTGTAGCTGAATTATCATAATTCTAATGCCACAAATATAAAAAGAATGGTCAAAAACCCAAGCCACTTTCACCCTTTTCACAAACCCTTTTAATTTACATCCCCCTTAGTTGCAATTTTTCTGTGTACTGGGAAACACTGTATTGAGTAAATTAAAATATTTATACCGGACCGTGCCAGAAAATGAATCATTTTAAGGACCTAGAAGGTTAACTGACATATAAATTACATTTTTATCTATTTAACAAGGCATTCTTTTAGTCAGTAATTGAGTATCCAATTATCATAGATAATAAAAGAAACTTTAAAAATTCAGTAACAACAATTATTGTTAGATTAGAAGACAAATGGCAAAACAGTATGTTGAGTTTATTACCATTTGTGATACATGTTAGTAAATTTATAGAAGAAAACCTGGATGAACACAAACCAAACTTAATTGTCTCTGGGAGGTGAGACTATTCAATTTCTGTAACCTTGGAAATTTTGACCACAACCACGTATTCCTCTGTAAGCAGAAAAAAAATCCTAACAACTGTAAAGATAAGCATTTTTTAAAAGGGCAATTTAAGCTACATTCTTTTCCTAAATTAACTCTGCACATTAGTAACATTTTACTAATTAACAGCTGATTCTGTTACCAATCAGAATTCATATAACAATTCATAAAACCAAACAGACAAAAAGCTATTCCCAAAGCCAAAAAACAAAAAACTGCACTTGCATTTATTACTAATTTTATTTTCTTTTTTCCTACCAATGCTGGTAGCCTCAGTGGCCTGAAAAGCATATTCAAGGGTTCTTCTTGTTTATAAATTTATACGAAAGGCAATCGTGGTGGCCAAAGTCGTCTTGGTTTACAGATGTATCAGTAGACCTCTCAAAAGTTACTTACTACAATAGAGTTCACAGGGCAAACTAGCTTGCTCTTTGAATGTTTATAAATGTACACTATTTATTTTTATTTTTATTTTTTTGAGACGGAGTCTGGCTCTGTCGCCCGGGCTGGAGTGCAGTGGCCGGATCTCAGCTCACTGCAAGCTCCGCCCCCCGGGTTTACGCCATTCTCCTGCCTCAGCCTCCCGAGTAGCTGGGACTACAGGCGCCCGCCGCCTCGCCCGGCTAGTTTTTTGTATTTTTTAGTAGAGACGGGGTTTCACCGTGTTCGCCAGGATGGTCTCGATCTCCTGACCTCGTGATCCGCCCGTCTCGGCCTCCCAAAGTGCTGGGATTACAGGCTTGAGCCACCGCGCCCGGCCTATTTATTTTTTAAACTCACTTTATGGAAAAAGTTTACCAAGTCAGTGCCAAATACTTGTTTACGTACTTTACAAGAGAATAAGCCAAGCAGCCAATAAACAAATGAAAAGGTGTGCAACCTCAATAATCATCAGGGAATGTAAATTCAAACCACGATGAGATAGCCATTAGAATGACTAAAATGAGGCAGGGCGTGGTGGCTCACGCCTGTAATCCCAGCACTTCGGGAGGCTGAGGCAGGCAGATCACATGACATCATGAGTTTGAGGCCAGCATGGCCAACGTGATGAAACCCCGTCTCTACTAAAAGTACAAAACTTAGCTGAATGTGGTGGTGTGTGCCTGCAGTCCCAGCTACTCGGGGTGGAGGCTGCAGTGAGCCAAGATCCTGCCACTGATCCTACCACTGCACTCCAGCCTGGGCAACAGAGTGAGACTCTGTCTCAGAGAAACAAAACAAAATGAAAAAAATGACTAAAATGAAAAAGCCAACATCAAGTGTTAGTTAGCATGTGGAACAACTAGAACTCGTATGTTGCTAATTTAGTCTGAATTGATTCAAATACATTGGAAAACTGGGAGTGTAAAGGTACACATATGGAGGCTGTGCACAGTGGTTCACACCTATAATCCCAGCACTTCAGGAGGCTGAGATGGGAGGACTGCTTGATCCCAGGAGTTCGGGACCAGCCTGGGCAATACAGGGAGACTCTGTCTCTACAAATAATAATAACAAAAAAATTAGCTGGGCATGGCAGTGTGCCCCTATCATCCCAAGTATTCAAGAGGCTGAGGCAGGAGGATTGCACAAGTCTGGAAGGTCAAGACTGCAGTGAGCTGTGATCATGCCACTGTACTCCAGCTTGGGTGACACAGTAAGACTCTGTCTCAAAAAACAACAACAACAACAACAAAAAACACCCTACAACCCAGCTATTCCGCTCCTAGATATACACTCAATAGAGATGCATACTAAGCTCACTCATGGCAGCACTAAACGTTAACAGTTCCCAAATAGAAAGCCAAATGCCCATCAATAGCAGTATGGATGTTTCATTTCTTAATTTGTGTGCTGGCTACCCAGGCATGTGCAGTTTGTGAAAATTCACTGAGTTTGTGTATTTCTAATTTGCATATTTTAATTATTTGTACATTTATAATTCATGTATTTTTGTATATGTATGGATGAATGCCATAGTTCTGCCCAAATTTTCTAGTTACTTATTGTCATAGATTACTTTTTAATACTAATGGAAAAGAAGTTTTCATCAACAACCTACAGCTGCACTTCAGATTCAGAATGCTTTAGTTTTACAACACTAAATGTTTTTATAACCATGACTCCCATTCATTTCTCAGGAAGAACTAAGGTAAGACTAAGACAGCGAGTAACACTTTTGGTTGCAGATGCTGTGTATGTCTACTATGGTAAAACAAGATAAAATACATATTTTCAGCAAGTGATAATACTATGCCAGAGCCTGGCGTGCATGAGATAAGGATGGCAAGTCTGCTACCACATGAGACTGCAAAATTCTACATTTACTTCAAAATACTAATCAATTCTAACTTGTAATAAACACAGATGATCTTTGTGTTATGGGTAATATGTGGCCAAAACACATGTAAACAAATTATTTCATGAAGTAAATAGCCAGAATGCACCTAGTCACTTAAAGGTTTATTGACTTACAAGTTTAACCCAAAAGCATTCACTTAAGTTGTCACTAGAAACTAGCTTGGATTCCTTCTCATTGTCACTAATGGTGCAGAGGAATGAAAGCTGCAGGGCAAGGTGAATCCGCTAAAGAAGAGGTTTCAATCTGGCGCCCTGAAACAGGCCCACAGTCATTTTTGGTTTTTGTCTTGCACTGTGGTTTTAAAGTGACACAGTTGGCAATATTTCACACTATCTGGTTTTCCAGCTTCCTATGAAAAATGAGAAGCTCTGAAAGCACTGGGTCTGCAAAGGGTCACAGAGGGAGTGCTTTCCTGGGCAGGTTCTCTTTAGTTCCCCATGACTCCTCTGTAGACAGCTGTTTCCTCCTCTTGATCTCCGGCAATTTTGTCTCCTATCAGTGGTTCATTCCTGGATGTCAAATTTAAAAAGCAGCATGCATGATAGAACAACAGATTTGGGCTTACCTTTGGGTACTACTGCTTCACCAAATTTGGTTAAAACACAAGGAACTACATAAAACTTAGGCAAAGAAGAGTTTGGTTGATACTGGATCGTTAGATACTGGTCTTAATGTATGACTGTGGGTGAGTTAACTTTCAGGAACTTCAGTTTCTCTATAGGTAAAGTAAATGCATTTTATTTTATGATTTTTAAAAGACTTCCAGTTCTAAAATTCTTTGACTGTAATATACTATCCTTCATATTTTAATTATATTAGTGAATCAGAATTCCAAGTAAACAAATACCAAAGTTAAAATGATCATGAAAATGATGATTAGGACATTGTTTTTTTTTAAAGTGAGAATGATATTTTAAAAAATAAATTGGGTAACACTCACATCCTTGTGATTGTAGCATAGGATCTTTACCCACAAACAACTTCAGTGACCTAGCAACAGGAACAAGGTTTCTTTTGGAGCTGATTCAATACAGAGTAATGGGTAAGATTTTACATGCCAGACAAATCCCTACCCCTCCATCTACTGTAGGAGCATGATTAAGTTACTCAAATCATTCAAACGTTTTCTCTTTCTTTTACATAGAAATAACACCCACTTTACAAGGTTGTAAAAATCAATGAAGTAATGTGTGTGTACTGCTAATTATTACTGGCTATTATCGATTATACTGGCTATCAAAACCTCTGGAAAAGAGCAGCTTTTTTATTGCTTGCATAAATGCACACAAAATCTGCACTGTTTCTTCTAAGGGGATTATAAACGCCCTTTCCCTGTAGGGCCAGGGGCATCAGGGATAAAATATATAATTGATCCTTGTTATTCGGAGATTCTGTTTTGTGAATTCACCTACTCACTAAAATGTATTTGTAATCATCAAATTGATATTCGCTCAGGGTGCTTCCGCAGTCATTCATGCACATGGACAGAGTGATCAACAATTTGAGTTACCTGACTTACACATTCCCAGCTCAGGCTGAACACTGCCATGCTTTGCCTTCTCTTTTTTTTTTTTTTTGAGACAGAGTCTTGCTCTGTCACCCAGGCTGGAATGCAG